ACAATGGGGGCAGATCGCATATCGTCCATTTAATTTGCAGGGCTCCACTCCTTAATTATTTCAACCAACAAAATTTTGATTACCTACCAAATACTTTTATCATAAATGTGTGGATGCACATTTTTTTCATTTTTAAATAAATAGCTTATAAAAGCCTAAGCATGGCCGCATAACTGTTATTCTGCAACTTAATTTTATCACAAAATCATTCAGGATTTGAGTCGTTGAATTAGGTAGTCCCCTAAGAGACAATAATTTACGTGGAATATTTTTCTAACGTGAGTTTGACATTAGAGTTGTTAAATCCCACCTTAAAAAGGGATGAACTTTCTGGTACAAAAAGAATATTTTGGTTGAGTATATTATTTCCCTGTTGCAGGGTTTACTTCATTTTATAGAACCACTGACCAGACAAATATGAATAAACTGAAAATGGGATAAAATATTAAACAAATATAAGGAAAAATACCATTTTGTATTTCATTTCGTTTCAGTTCACATGCCCAACTGGGCAGGTCGAACAGACCCGGGTTTTTGTTGGGCCTATAAATTGAGCCCAAGCCCGCTCTTTCACGGAAATTCTGCACTCATATACAACTTATACATAAGCATATGTATCAAACAGAAAGAGAATTTACTGTGTCGTCAAAAGTAAATGTCAGTTTGTTTGGACTGTGCTTTGATGTCTTTCAACTTCTTCAAAATGTTTGTGAAATAATCCTGCAGATATTTCTCTAGGGAACTAATATCCTTTGCTTCCACTCCGAGCAGATTGTATGTCTCAGCCATTGGGGCCGAGAAAACAACATCACTTGTAAGAACCTATAGAAAAGCAACCAAAGGTAAATCATGAATTAACGCAAGAATGTAACTGCATCGACTGGCAGTAAAATCATGATGATATTGTACATATCACGAGTATCGCTAATAAAGAATGAAAAAAAAAAAAAGGTTGTACCTCTGAGAATGCCAATCGATCAGCAACATCGTTGGTCCACTCGAATAGACGAGTCAGCTGCCGAGTAAATCTCAGAACAGAGACAGGGACAGTGGTGACATTTGCATCTTGACCAGCAAGCCTCTCACACAAGGTTATCACCTATAAACCAAGACACAACTGATTTCAAACTAAACTCCAAATTAGAGTTGAGGTAGGATCTTAGCCTTTGGACTGATGGAAAATTTTTTTACTCATCTAAGTAAATTTTACATCTTGAGCAATGTCATCTCACTAGAAGAATATTTATATGTTGCTACGAAATTTACCTACTAAAAAACTTTTACCTAATCTTAAGTTAGTTTACTACCTAAAAGAAGTATATACTGATTCAGAGTAGCTATGCATTAGCTAGAAAAAGGCTTCTTCGCAAACTTTGCTCTATGAATCATTCCATTTCAATTTTACGGGCAGTGGTCAATGTCAGCTTCCCTTAATGTCCATCAAACCGAAATGATACCCTGTAATCCTCCGTAATCGTGCATGGTCACGAGTTTTATGGGCAGAAAAAGAGCATAATTATGTGTATATAGAGTACAAGAGATTGCAAAATAATTTTAAAAACAAAGTGGCATGTTCTTTTACACATTCAGCACACTTTCCCTTACCTCTTGGGTAGTCCAGGCACGAGGACCCGCAAATGTCAGAAGTTTTCCAGTGATATTCTCATTGCGCAGAGCTATAAATGTTAATCGGGCAATATCCTGGAAAACATGTACATAAGCATCGGTAGAATGTCAAGCACAGATTTTTCATTTTTTTTTTTCTTTCTTCCCCAATCTGGTATCAAGAGCATATAAATCCACATCGTTTTACCTGGGTGTCCATGTATGCTATTCTTGTAGGAGCATCAGTTCCCCAAACAGATTTCTCTTCGAGAATGGGTACTGCATACTGCCCAATCAGGCCCTGAAGGTAATAAACCACAGCCCAAATATGTGAGTGACAAATGAAAAAAAAAAATAAATGAGTTGACTCAGGTAGCTCATACACATTGCAGATATCGTTTTTTTTTTTTTAGTTTTACTCGAGCTGCAATACTAAATAACTCAGAAACTACACAAACCTATCCAGAAGAAGCTAATAAATGAACAATTTGACAAAATCAAGCATTGAGCATCCTATTAACCTGCATGAAGCCGCAAAGTCGGATAGTTATGTGGTTGAGGCCTGAATCACGAATAAACTTCTCGGTGCAGTACTTAATCTCCATAAGCGGAACCTCAGGATGCTTGTCACAATTGTGGATGGAGAAGAAGACAAACTTTTGGATCCCCATAGCCTTTGCACATTGTATAAGAGCAACTTTTCCTTCCCAATCTACCTAAAAATGAAAATTGTGTACAGAGAAGGACAATTTTTACATCCATTCTATTCTGCCAATCATCAAACACAAAAAGGCCACACAGTTGGCAAGTTTTTGCTCACAGTTTTTATGGGCTCCTCCGGACGTCCCGTGGCACAGTCAATCACCGTGTGTATGCCGACTAATGTTGCTGGTATACTCTCAGGTTTGCTCAAGTCTGCCTGCTCAAAGTACTCACACTTAATATGTTTCTACCCATAAATTCCTTTCATTTTTTTTTTTTTCATATTTTTTACAACTTTCAGTAAGGTCCCAGATAACAAGATTTAAGCTTTTTAGCCTATCCTGACGCAAATCACAATTTCTTGAGCAATGGCACGATAAATTGCTCAAATAATGGAGATTGCGGGTAAATTTACATTGACAACTGTAGCGCCCCAATCGCGGAGAAAATCAGCAGGGGCAGGTCGAGGCCTGACGAGACACCTGACGTCATACCCCTCGTCTAGGGCTCTGCGCACAATCTGCCGGCCCAATGTGCCGGTGGCACCCACCACCAGTATGCTCGTCGGCCTCACCGGCGTCCCCGGAGCAAGATTCACCGCGGCCGGCGCTGCTTGGGCATTGCAAGTTATCACCGCCGATTTACTCCTGCCTGACCACAGCTTACCATCGATAACGAACGGTATTTACATATAGAATTTGGAGAATTGAGAATGGAATTTGAGGATTATACCTTTAGGGGTGAAATTGGGGGAGATGGAGAGAGAGTGAGAGGGGATTGATTCGACTGAAAAATTGTTGCAGCGCCATGAAAGGGAAGCGTGGGAGTGTAGCTGGTGGAGTTTGAGAGGGGTGGATATGAGCGTGGACGCCATTGATGCCTGTCCTGTGTTGTATGTTGTTTGTGTAGTGTAAACTAGTAAGAGCAGAGAAAGGGATAAGAGATGAGAAAGATGCCACGTCACCAAATTCAGATTACGGCTCATTCGGCTGAGCTGGGCCGTCGGCCTAAGTTTGCAAAGTCAATCGCTTTGTACTACAGTCTACACGTTCATTCGCTTACGTATAAAATATTCGGAACTTTCGATAACTGACATTCGATTGCATGTATTAATGAAAAATTACTTCAATCACCATATCTTAATTCAATCTCTTACGTCATTTTGCAGTGTATATTGATACAAGGATAAAGAACTCAGCCATTATACCAAAATTCTTTATCAGTGACCAACTGCAATAACCGAAATTTTCATCTAAAAGTAAATTTCATCCACAATCACGGAAATTTTCATCGAAAGGTCAATTCACCAAATTTTTACCAATAGGATCGCTCCTTTTAAAGGTAAATTTCACTAGCTGCAAACTTCACCCACAATCACGGAAATTTTCATCTAAAGGTCAATTCACCAAATTTTTATCAATAGGATCGCTCCTTTTAAAGGTAAATTTCACTAGCTGCAGCTAATTTTTTATCGTTAGATTCACATAAATAGAATCCAATCACCAAATTTTTCATCAAGAAGATCGAATGCTCCTTTTAAAGGTAAATTTCACCTTAATGATAACTGCAGTCAATTTTTTACCGTTAAAGCAATACATACCCTGAGGGGCGAAACCAGAAAATGATTTGAGAGGGGGCAAAAACAGGACATAATGAGTTCATAACCGATGCCGAACCGATAACATTTCGATAACCATTTTCAGTTACCCTTACACATAAGTCGGTTCAGTTTGATTTATTTTCTCATCAGCTCGGTTCGGTTTTCGATTTTTGGTCAAAAAATACCATTCCTGACCTAGGCAGTAAAAGAGAGTTGAAGTCTTTCATATGGGCTAATTAAAATTGTAAAATGATAATAATTAATATACAAAATTAATACTATAATAAAAGAAGTGTTAAATTGTTAATTGACAATTGTGGACAAGTTGGCCTGGTGAGTGACGTTTAAAAAAAAAATCTGGAGATGGAAAAATAAATTTAAAAGAGGGGCAAATTAAATTTTTAATATTTATAGTAAAAAATATTAAAATTTGAGGGGGGACAATTGCCCCCCTATTAGTATATGTAGCTTCGCCACTGCCCGTAAATAGTTAATCCAATCACCTAAGTTTACGTTTAAAGACAAATTTAACCGCAATCAATTTTTTACTGTTACATCAATACATACCTGCGTAAGTAGTTAATACAATCACCAAAATTTACATCAATAGGATCGAATGCTCCTTGTAAAGGTAAATTTTACTTGTAACTGCAACCAATATTTTACCATTAAATCAATACACACTCGCATAAATAGTCAATTCAACAACAAAAACATGATGGCTGCATTACAATCACTAGTAAGATCGTCCGCTCATAATTTAGATTATAGCTTTGTCCGCAAAGAAATGTCAACCCATTCAACTAGTTTTCTCCATCATTTCTTTGTTAAGGTTCCCGAATGAAAATACATTTTTCACTAAGAACAAAGCATTCCTTGTACTTCATTTCTTATATATACAAAAGTATAAACATATTTCAAAGCCTCTCACCTATTATGCAACAAAGATATATATTCATTCATTCGTTCATTCATTCCCTGCAAAATGCAGTTTTGATTCGATTCAACTCATGCATCAATCATATCCTCTCAAGATGTGTTAATCGAGATCAGCACGCGTTTACTAATGATCTTACTGTTTACACATTCAAGGAAATTACGTAAACACAAAAAATGGTGACCTTGCTTTTCTAACCATGGCTCGTCAGGCAAAACAACGGGACAAAAACTTGTCGACACGATTAGACAAAAGAACACTCAGGTGGCAGAGCAAGTGTATCTCTAATTTGACATAGTAGTGGCTAAAATTGCAAAAGATTTAAATGAGGGCCTGGACACCTTGCTGCTGAATTTCTCGAAGCTTCCATATGGAGTAAGGGGCCCCTTCCCCAACTTCTTCTGGATCCAACTGCTGCATAGCCCAAGCATAAAACACGGTATGGATCGTGTCCTGCCCAATTCAAGTTCAAATATCTCGAGGTGAGGATATTATATACAAGTGAGGTAGAGTAGGAAAAAGAAGCTGACCAAATAATTACAGTGAAAACTGTTTATTTAGATGCAAAAAAAAAAAAAGAAAGATACTTGTATTTTTGTTTTGTTTTCCCTTCACATTTTTGATTGGCGTAAAAATAGATAGAACTCAACAGAAAGCTCTGAATTTTAATATTTACCTGACCACCTTCTGTCACTGAGCCAAGTTTATCACGAACACAATAAACTTGTTGCGTTTGGAACTGTTCAGAAATACACCCCCTCGAAAAAAAGGAGAGTGAAAATGCATCAGTTTGTGTGAATGGACATATTGAAAACCAAAAGAAAGGAAGAAAAAAGAGAAATAAAAAGGGTTCTTACAGCCACAATAATTATGGGAGTCTCCCCCATCATTTTGGTCTCTCGAACTTCAACTTCTGATATATGTAATATCTGCACAGAGGACAACAATTTTGGTATAAAATACATAAACTTCAATCGAACAAATGAAATTTTACTCATGTTTTCAAGTAAACCATATAAAAATAATATGAAAATAAATTACCAAGAAAATTTTAAACCACAACAAAATTTGAATAGTAATGTAGTAGAGCATCCTCACTTTATGATCAAAAAATATTCCCTGGCTTTTATAGGCTTTGTGCTCCGCTTTACACCGCTCAATTACATGAGAACTACAATACTTCTTCAGTACTTCAGTATCCCCCTGTACACAAAATGAAACATAAATCCATCACCAGGGAGAATATAAAGTATTTGATGACAGGACAGCATCATACTATTCAAGAAATAAATGCCTCAATGTTATTCATGACTGAATTCAATATCTATATATATTGAAAAAGAGAGGTCAATAAATCATTTGTGGAAACTTCATGAAAAAAATAAGTCAAACCTTTTGACTTACTATTAGTAGTAAGTTCGAAAAATAACATTAGGAAGTTTAATAATGCACTTTAATCAATAAGTTCGGATTTTCTTTCCATAGGAATCGCATTAATTTTTGTAACAAAATTGTACAGTTTTATGCCATAAAACGTGCTAATAGGAAACAAAATCAACAACAATTCAAAAAAAAAAAGTGTAAATCTAAAGAAAATCCGGACTTTCACTAATGATTCGTGATTTGGCCCCATTTTATTGTTAACAGAGTTGTAGATTTATATGGCAAAAAAAATGTGCTAATCTTCTCAAGGAAACAAAATCAACATCATTTTGTGAGAAAAAAAAAAGAAAGAAAAAATGTGTAAATCTTAATAAAATACTATTTTCACTGATGTTTTATGATTTGGCCGAATATTTGTTTAAACAAAACAAATTTCAATTGATTTATAAATATGAATCCATATTAATACTATATTTTTTTTTTTGGTAACAATATCCAAAAAAATAAACATTTGAAAATTTAGGGCATGCTTGTTTATAAAATAATTCATTTCCCACTCAAAATCTAACTCAACTTTAACTCAACCCCACTATCATTTATATTATTTATATAATTAAATATTATAAACCAATCATTCTTACATATCACATCAACTTTAATTCACTATTCATCCACTCACATAATTTTAACTACCTATCATTTCCAATCATTTCCAATCATTTATATCCTACTTTTACATCAAATCATTAATAATCATTTCCAATCATTTATATCCCACTAACAATTAACCATACTACCTTTTTCAAAATTAACTCTAGTTAACTAAAATAACTCATTTTGAATGAAATATTTCATAAACAAGCACGCCCTTAATAATGCAATTTAATTAATAAGTCCAGATTTTAATTACGAATTAATTCAATTGTGTATTCTAATCTATACTTATATAAAAAGATTTACTTTTTTTTAAAAAAGGAAAGTCAAATTCTTAGTCAAACTATGTTAATTACTTTCTATTACTAGTAAATTATTTCTTTGTTTTCGCAAATCACGCGTGCAACATTAAATGCCTGTATAGTATTACCAGCAAATTAACATTTAGGATTCTAACATATTTTAACTATCGCCTAAAAATTTTCAGTCGATAAGTCCAATCCGATAAGTTTTTCTAATTCACACGTTTGGTTTAAAAATATCAATTTCAATACACATATGAATTCAAAACAATTACACGCACAAATTTAAAAAAAAAAATCGCCGAGTAATTTGTATCCTATTTTGATGGATAACTAGTGCGTGGCCCGTGCGATGCACGGGAAAACAATATTTTGATTGTATTATAAATTAAATAAATAAATAACATTAATCATCATTTACTCATTATTTTTAAATTAAATCGGGTTGGACACAGTCCGACCGGATGGACCGAGAACCGGTTTATAACCAGTCTAGTGTGCTTGAATAAAATATTTGCTATCAAATCCGTCAACATCAGTCTGTTGGACTGGTAGGATCGATACGATTTTCTAAACAAATTTTGTTACATTAAAAATTATTTTAAATAAAATTACACATTTAAATAAAATAGTGATTTATAAATTGTTTATCAATTAGTTTAAACATTTGAATTTATAAATTGTTTAGATATTTAAGTAACACTTTTTATTGAAATTTATTACAAAAAGTACTATATACATATCTATTAAAGTATTATGTATTAAAATCTGAACAACCACAAATGATTTAATAAAATAACTTGATCGTTTCGATTACGGTCCGGTTCTGAAAACCTTATATTTACCGTACATTAATAAAATAATTATTTTGTTCACATAAATAATAATAAAATGATATATAAATATTCATAAATCATTAATCATGTTGTCATAAAAGTATTGTTAATGTGATTATTTGAAGCTTGGACAACATCACATTCACGTAATAAAGTATTTTCAACATTAAAATTTATATTTAGGTTCAATAATCGATTTGGTCTGGTCAAACTGATACATTAGTTAGTTACCTGGGACCAACCAAGTTGTGTCAAGTTTTTTTTACTATTTTAAATATCTAAAACTAATTCAATCAACGTGGGCAGTACCCTAACTCAATCACCCGATTGATCCAAAGCAATTTCCTTATTTTCTTTAAATATAATATTTAATTTTATGAAATAAAAAAAATTTATGATTTATATGTCTACACCAAATGATAGTATATTAAGATTATAAATTATATATCTAAAGATGAATTATTTATTTTTATTTTATGCATATTAATAAAAAATAAACATAGTAATTTTAAAAAAAAAAAAATCAAGATTAATTGATTGGGTATGCAATATAAAGAATATTTTTACCGTTCAACATGATTGATTTTTTGGATTAGAATATATATATTTAAAATGATTTTATTATTAAAAGTTTAAAAGAAAAGATGCCATAAAGATTACAACTTTGAAAAGTTTGTAACCATTAATTTAGGAACCATCCGATTTTAAATGATTTATAATTTTTGAAACAGGATACGTGTATCTAAAACCCATTAATTTAGGAATCATCCAATTTTTTGATAATGAATTAAAATTAAAATGTAAAATAAAAAAATTGCTGAAAATAGTATATAATAAATGTGGTTTGACTTTTCCTTACTACTATTTATGGTAAATGTTAATTCTTATTATATATATATAGATTTGTATCATATTTTGATGGATAGATAAACATATAAATAAAATAAAAAAATGATGTATAAAAAAGTTCCAATATCACATAGATTACAAAATGATAACACAAAATTAACCGATTTAATACAAAGTTTTTACCAATTTAATACAAAGTTTTTTTTTAAACTTGCAAAATACTGATACCTAATCCAAAGAACCTTTAATTAATATAATATTTTTATATAACTTAAAAATTCATGAACGATACGTGAGATTTATTTCAAAATCCTATTATTTTTGTATACACGAAGTTTAATTAATATAATATTTTTATGAATTAAAAATTCATGAATTTGTTACTTTCTATTCTTATCTATACGTGAGATTTATTTTAAAATCATATTATTTTTCTATACACGTGAGGAATCTATATATACATATATAAGAAGAATAAATTTTTAAACATTTTTTTTTTTGGCAAATTTTTTTACACATGTATATATATGTAGATGTTAACTTTAAGTGTTTTAGATATATTTTTCTTATAAAATTGTTTAGAAAAAATTAAGTAATTTCACATTTTCAAGAAATATATGTAATGTTTTAGATACTCTTACATACGTTATATAATAGTCTAGATATTCTTGATGTTATTTCAGTTGTAATATAATTAACATATATAATATTTTAGATACTTCTAAAAATATTAGGGGACTTCACGCATATTTCAAAAATAAAATAGAATATTTTAGGTACTTTTGCACATGTGATATAAGGTTTTATTTTAGGTGACATCACACATATTTCACATCTTTCAATAATGATATATAAAATTTTAGATACTTTTTCCTACGTTACATCATATTTCAGGCGTGTTTAATACGCATTTTCGTAAATTCTTTTATTGTATACGATAAATTATATCATATATTAACTCCACACCTTCAATTTATAATTATTAGTTAATATTGTTTATTCTCATCTTTAATTTATAATTATTTTAATATTATTTACCCGTGCATCGCACGAGATACACACTAGTTTTACTATAAAACAAGAGTCGTCAATAACTAATCCAACTAAAAAGAAATACATGTTTATCTTCTAGATAAGTCAAAATCCTAACAATATTGTAAAAGATGATCTTGATTAGTAATATAATATAATACATGTTTAGCATGCTTTATGCCAAATATAAAACGTGCTAATAGGAAACAAAATCAACAACAATTCAAAAAACAATATTTTTTTTGGTAACAATATCCAAAAAAAAAAACATTTGAAAATTTAAAAATGCAATTTAATCAATAAGTCCATAATTTAATTACGGATTAATTCAATTGTGTATTCTAGTTTTACTATAAAACAAGAGTCGTCAATAACTAATCCAACTAAAAGAAATACATGTTTATCTTCTAGATAAGTCAAATTCCTAACAATATTGTTAAAGATGATCTTGATCAGAACATAATATAGTACATGTTTAGTGGCATATTAAAATATTCTTATCGAAAATAATCATATATTCTAAATGATTAGTTAGTCGTGTTTCTAATAAGATATTGAGAGAATCCTAACAAATAACAAATAAGTTCATTTTAGTTATTCAGAATCCTAGAGCATCTATACTAATTAAAATTAAGAAATAACAATTTGGAAACAAAATAAGGAAAAATATACCAATTTTGTGTTTGACACATAAAACTATATGACAATAGAGATTTAAGTAAGCAATTTGTTTTATGCAAAAGGTACATATTTTATGTTTTCAAGAGGTATTTGATAATAGAAAATAAATATAAGCTTGATTTATTATTTGCATGCACCGTTTTTTTTTGTTCTTATGTTTTTTCCTAACCATGTTTTACCGAGATTTATGTAAATTCATATCAATTTTTTTGTTAAGTTCATATCAAATTTTTTTTAGTAATGAAGCAGTTGCACAAATCTTCACAAATTATTTTGATTTTTCATTTGTATTAATTTCAATTCAATTTGTTTGGTAAAAAAATCGGTGCAATGTTACGAGAATTTAGTTGCATTTTAGGAAAGATTGATGATTCTTTTCACTTTGTTTTAACTAAATATTCGTATCAATTTATTCGAAAAAAAAAAATTCAGTGTATTGGTTGAAAAGTTAAGTTTAATTTTTAGGAAAAAGTAATGATTTGTTTCAATTTTTCTTAATCAAAATTTTGAATTAGATTTTAAAAAAAAAATGAAATGGAGTGAAAATCCCTTAAATTCTCTACTTTTTTTTAATACTATAATTTTGTTTAATAAATAAGATCCCTTAATTTTTTTTTAAAAAAAAAAACATAATTTGTTAACTAATAACTAATAATACGCAATTTTAGATAAAATTCAAACACTCATGTAGTACGTTACGTGCAAAAAATCAAACCAAGAATGTTGTACATAAGGAAGTGTTCCATAATATATAAATTTCATGTTCATGATATTTTTAATGTCATAAGACAATTTAAATACAAAAATATTTTTTTTAAAAAGCAAGTAGGTAATAAATGCTCCCGTGCATCGGGTACTGTACTAGCTTAAATGAAGGACAGAGTAACAATGCATCAAATTAGTTCTACTGCGTAATGAACTTTAAGACTTACTTTGAAATAAGCATTGAGAACTGGTTGGACAACTTCTTGAACCTCAGCAACAAATTCAGGTAACGAGAAAGTTCTAGCACAACCAACATCCAATTTCAGAAATTAAAGACTAGTTAACAAAATAAAATTAAAAAATGTGTATTCTTACGGATCCCTGCGCCTGATTTCTTTAAATGACATGGCAACATCTGATTCTCCAAGAACAGTTTCACTAATACTGAAATAAAGCAAGGTGAATGTCAGTTTAAAAATATGCATTTTGGTTGTTCCCAACAGCCAACACAGATATAAGAAGTTGAAAATAAAAGGATTAAAACTTACTCCTGAATTTTGTGAACAACTGGATGATCACTAGTCTCCCACCTTTCCCGCATATCTTCAGCAATCTGTAAACCAAGCATTAAAGATTCCATAATTTGTAAACACGGACTGGTTAAAAAGTTCTGTTACATGGACAACTCATAAATCAAAAGCGGGATGAACTCAAAACAGACCTCAATAATCAATAGTGGCATCTTATTAGCCAGGACTAAAATTGTCAACAACAAATTGTTGACAGCTTAAACAGCTGCACAATACTAAGTGAATAGAAAGTGCTATTAAACACACAACATTAAGGATAGTGCATTGACTGTACAATCATATCTTCAGCTTTTGCCAAAGGCAACTGAGCATATGAAAAGCTCCGATCAACTCTACCAGAAATTTACACAGAAAAGGTGTCAATGAAACTGGAAGACGGAAAAGTCTAATATGGCATTTCAATTTGCTAAATACCTCCTGACTCTTTCCGATTACAGGCTCACTAATCCCACTGACACTCTTGAATACAGGATGGCCTCGCATCTGAAACAAAACAGCATAATATCCCGTAAAGTGTGTCACTATAGTCCAGACCATGAGAAAACCCATTATAAGCAAGGCATGAATGCAAACCTTGTTCTTAAAGGCTTCCCATTTCTTGCTCCATGGAGACTGCGTTGAAGGTAACACGACAATGTCTGTCCGAGTACTTCTCTCGATATTTTGTGGTTGAGCAGTGGTAAAAGCATCATACTCAAGATGCTTCCTCCTGTTGGGGTTACCTTTCAGTTCATCCTTCACAATCTCATAACCCTTCTTCACCAAATCCACCGGTTTTGCTTCTTTTACTTTTTGGAATGCCAATGAAACCTTCGGAGAAATGGAAGGAATGCCAAATTTGAACTTGCTGAATAGAGTTTCAGCATCACCTTGCTTTTCTTCACCAAAAGAAAACTTGCTTCCATCTTTGTTATTTGAGCTTTCACTGTCTTGCTTTGCTGCCTCTTGATTTCCAATACCAAAGCTTCCTTTTACCTGAAGAAAATAAGAACTTTAGTAGTTTCTATCGCGAGTTCGTATCAATCGGGAGTTGGATGTAGGTGTCTGCTATCAGATTTGATGAAATAAATTCACAAACCTCCTCTTTAGCAGCAGATATTTTCTCTTCAACATCGGCATATACCTAACAAGAAAGAAGAGGACTCATCATCAATAGAAGCATGCAAATCTATTAAAAGAGAGCAGTATAATTAGTCATAATTAATCAGATCAACAAGCAAATGCAGAACCACATGCGGAATCTAGATACCCTCTTTGCCTTTGCTTCAGCCTCATTCCAGACACCGTCTACTTGCTTGTACAGCTGCTCGGTAGTCTGCTTCGTTCTGCATTTCGCCATTTCACGATCTCAGAGCTCCCAATGGAAGTGTCTGCCAGCCTATATGATTAAACTAAAGCTCAAAATTTCAAGAATGTAAATTCAGAGTCACATTACCTAACTTTCAAATCTTCTTTGACTCCTTTCAGTTCTTCGGCCTTCTCCTTGATTTCCTTAATGGATTTTTGAAAATCTTGATTCCTGCAGCCAAATAATCAGCAGCACATCATCTCAAGGTTTCAACTTTACACTAAAAAGGAATACCAAAGTGTTGAAAAAACTGGAACCTTATCCTTTACAGGAATAATGCAAGATAAGTGGTTTTAAACCTCAACTACGAAATCCAACTTAAATGGCTTCACCAAAAAACAAAAATTCTAGGAGCAATGCATTTCTCCATTCATACTACATCTAACTCAACCTAACAGATGGGTAATTGCATTGGATAAACAAATGGCAACATAAGGAAAAAAAAAAAAAAAAAAAAAAATCTCAGCTTCTGATTGGACGAAATTCACCTTTCAACTTCCCCTTTAATCTTCTCAGATAATTCATTAAACATGCTGAACTCACGTCTCGACAGATACCCATTTGGAGGGACCGGCAGTAGCCTCGACCAATTACCTGATACCTAGACAAAACAAAAATACCACCAATGAAAAAATAAGCGGGGATAGAGCAAGAAAAAAGCTGGGCAACGCAAAGAAAGCTCACACACCTGTTGAGATGTCAATAATTGGTGACGAAGGAGAACATGTTTGGACAGGAAAAGGAGTTTTCTGATGGCCATGTGAACCCTGCAACAGTTTTTGTATCCCTCACCAAGATAATGTTAATACGGAATGAATGACGAATTTACTGTTAGGGTTCTAAAGAGTTTGGGCTGTGGAGTGATACGGAGACCGAAAGGAGTCGACTTGGGCAAGGGGACAGCTCTTTCCTATGCCCTAATGTAAATACCAAATACTTTTGGAAGTGTGCGCAAATACCTAATGAAAAACCAAAATATATTTTGTTTCTACTAGTATTTGTAAACACTAACATTTTACAAAAATTACTTATACCAATATATTTTAAATGATACTTTTCATGTATGGTGTTCTTAACTTTTGAAAATATGAATTTTATCAAGATAAATGATTTGTTGCACTTAGAATTAAATACTATATGATGAGACCAAATTAAGACTGATGGACAATATTAGAGAGAACTACATGTGTCGTCTGTGTAGATAACTGAGAGAAGAACAGACTAGGATTAGACAATAACTATTACCTTCTATGTTAAGGGAAAGGTTTTAACTCATAACAGAGAACAATTCTCACAATAATTTACAGTTTTTTGTTAAAAAAAAAAAAGGAACAAAAATAATTCAAGAATCACTCCTAGTTGGTAGAGGCCATATCTATGTACAAGTTAATTTGCATCTGCCTGCAGCTACTCATGTTATCTAACATCCCATCATTTGAAGATATGCTTTCAAACAAGATCAAAACTTCATTTCTGAACTAGGACCATAATATAATCAAATAATCAATTCTGAACCCTCTATCAATCTTGAGATCATTTCTTCTAGCTCTGGCTGCTCAGATTTCATCTGCAGGAAATCAGAGTATTTTCTGACAAGCAGCTGTCTTCACTCTTCACTGTAATATTCTGTTTCCGACAAATCTTGCTCGTCTTCTGATAACCCTTCATCATTCACATTGGAATCAGTACTTTTATCTGCATCGTTTTTAGCTCTATTCTGAAGAAGAGCCGAATCCCGAAGAGCCCTTGATTCCATATTTTCACATATACAAGACAGCGGGTATTCGTGAAATCCCCCCTTCCCGGGCCTCACCTCCCCCATGAATCCCACCTGGAATTTCCGCACCAAAAAGGCAAATTCTTCCCACGTCATCTTATTCCGCTCTTCAAACGCCTGATAAAGCTTCTTTGCATTCGGGCGTATAGTTGGTTTGTGACCAAAGTATCTCCTGAAACAAACAAATATATAAACTAAAATATCGTCAAGATACGAAGGTGATTCTCAAAAAAAAAAAAAAAAAAAACACGTACGTACCTTTTGCCTGCGAGCATTTTGGCCATGTTACCATTGTTATTTGCAACAAAAACATCACTTTCATCACAGACGATGAAATCGAGTGCGGCCATGCGAGACGAGTAAGGAGAGAATTGCACCAGTTCATCCTTGCTGGCAATAGTCTCTTTCGTGTGAATATTCGGGAAAAGAGCCCTAAGAGGTGCAAAAATCTCCTCACCTCCATAAACTTCACCCGACGCTACGTAAATATGCACGTCTTTCCCGAAGCCTAATACCCTTAGCATCAGCCCAACTTCCTCGGGAGTTAGCAGGCATTTCCCATGCCTCCGCTCCTTTTCCGGGTTTTTTGTCTGCCGAAAAATGTCAATGTGAATATGTATTAATAACAAAACCTCGTTCTCAACCAAAATCTGACAGAAATACAAAAGATTATTATTCTCACATGTAAAGTTTTCCACCTCTTTCGTATTGTGCCGAGCTCTTTGATTTCTTTGTTGCCACCACCATAGTAGCATCCGGAAAATGCAAGCATATCGGGCTCAAATCTAAAAATGTTAATAATTTACTGTCAGCTACTGTTGTTATATATATGAGATACCAAAANNNCAAAAAAAAAAAAAAAAAAAGGTTCTCTGTTTTCTCAGATAATAACCTTAAATGTAAGGCAACATAATGCTTGCTTTTCGCTCTCATCCTATCGACTAACTTCATTCCCATCTCTAGAATGGGATCAGTAAATCTCAAGGCATGATAGTTCACTCGGCATCTCAGCTTTTGTAAATCCGGGCCAAGACGATTCGACAATCTGTAATCAAACTTGGTGAGCCGAATGGCCTGCACCTGAGGGTGGTCCAATACTACACATATTCAACTAAACCACCTTCAAAGAAAAAAGATTAAAAAAAAAAAAAAAGTTGCAGATCAAATTTGGGGATAGAAAATAGATACATACGCGCTTTTTACGAAAGATGGGCAGTATACGAGTCTCATAGCATTTCTGATTGCATTTCCTCGGTGCACGAGTAGTTACTACCTTCCCAGATTTTATGGGAAGCTGTTCAACAATTTTGACGTCCCTCGACAGGTACCTTATGAACCAGTCGACATCAAATATGTCCGAGAAGTTGCTGCAGTATTAGAAACCGTCAACACGATCATCACATTTTTTATTTTTTTCTGAAATTATCAAAGTGTGTTTTAATTTATTGAAGGTTCACAAACCTAGCGTCCTTCCAAAAGGATTTTTGATCGAGCTTAGGCACAACGAGGGCCGATTTCAAAATATAGGCTGAAACAACGGCATCTACTATCTGTTACCATAACAAATGCACGCTATTTATGCCACAACAAGAACACATTTATCATAACACTCCACATAATAATATGTCAAGTCGGATTAAAGCTCCTGCATTACTCTAGAAAGCACAAAGAAAACAAAACCCTTTACCAAATTAAAGACTAAAACTCAAAATAACAATTTGGTTATGAATATTATTATTACTCCTGTTCTTTGCTGGTTTAGGCCTCCACTAGTCGCAATCAACAAGTATCGGTTGGGTTCGGTGTTCATATCCGCAGCTGCCATTTGTTGAGAACAATATCAGAGACAAATCCCAGATAGTTACTCATTTTCATCTCACCATTGTGTACATATATATTATTTTTCATCAAAGCTTGCTCCATGAAAATAATTAACAGCGGTTTTTGGTTGTACCTAGAAAATTGTGGCTGGCATTACTGCATCCGTAAGAGGAATCGGATTGGTTCCAAGTCCACAAAGTGCGGCCTAAGCTTCCTCCACCCATCTACAAATTCATTACAAGAAAATAAAATTAGAAAAATGCATAAAAATGCATAATTTTTGAAAAGAGGTGATCTTTGAGGTGTACATAGTCTGATCACAGCCACAGAGAGAGACTCACCGGGACACGAAAAACTCTATCTTTCTCGATTTTGATGTGAACTCTGTTACTCAACTTCACAAATCAGACAAGGAAATAAATGTAAAAGGAAAATTTAGATAACGATATGTGAGTTGGCGAGAGAAAAATAACTAAAAAAAAATATACTTATATATACCGAGGTGTTGAGGTGGTGGAGGGTATGGTGGGTGGAGATGGGAGGGAAGAGGAAGAGAATAAGGGCTATGAGGAGGAGTAAGCTTCCGGAAACGGCGGCAAGGACCGGCGGGAGGTGGTGGAGGCGGCGGTGACGGTGGCGGTGGCGGCGGAAGACAAAACCCTGTAGAATCTGGACGGCGATTAACTCATCGCCGTGCTTTTTCTTCTTGATCGTGCTCATGATGTCCGAATTTCTTATTCAAATAAGAATAATAATAAAACAAAAACAAAACCACAACTTAGAAACTCAAAAGAGAATTTATGTTGTTGGACCTGAAATGTTTGTTAAAGAGCAACAACTGTGTTTTGGATGCTAAAAAAACAAAAAAACAATTTTATTGCGATTCGGCCCCGCGCATATATTTGCAGGAAATCCCCTGTATACTTGGTCGGTCCACCAATCGTTTTGGATTTGGCTAAATCGTCTCCCAAAATCTACGTAATATCCTAATCAGATCATTTTTCTTTTTTGGATTATGACTATTTCTGTAGTGACTGTATATATTGTCTTAATAAATCAAATAAATAATTCAGGTATTTTATTCGTCGAATTAGTTAAGAAACTTTTCAAAATTTTGTGTATCAAAATAAATAATTGTGTTAAATTTCGAAATTGTGTGCATTAAATAAAACAACTTATCTAATTATGAAAATCGAAATGTAATCGTTTCGAAAAAAAAAAAATCGAAATGTAAAAAACAGGACTCGTGCAAGAGTACTGATCAAATGTAATTATGCTACATTTTCTTCTTCTTCACGTGGTTCTCTGATCTGCTGCTTTTCTTTATGTGTGTAGTTAGGACCTAAAAAATTTAACCTCTTCAATGCTTAATTGAATACTAGAGGATTTGCATCTTTGTCTTCTAATTAACACAAGTTGTTTAGATTCCATCCTCTAATTTAATCACAATTTTTGTTAAAATTAGTTTGAAATATAATTACCGCGTAGCCAGAATTTTTCTTTTACTCAGGGCTACTTAACGTTAAGCTATTATTCGAATCAAACTATTTACAAACACAACTTATTTGGACTCGTAAAAGCTCGAACTCCTATTTCATACACTTCAAAAGGTTAAGCTCGAATACAATCAAGTTTGTTTATTAAATAATCAAGTTCGAACATGAGATATCCGACTTGGCTCGACTCGAATAACATATCTTTATCTAGATGTCAAGCATAAAGAAACCGATGTATGAAAATAAATCTTTTCAATATTCAATACAACTTACATGAATTACAAAGTTAAATGAATTAAAGTATATTTTAAAAATCCAATGAATGACAAAACTAAATTATTAAAATCCATAAATTCAATCACAAAATAAATATTCTATTGGAATTATAGAAAAAACAAAGTATATAAAATTAAAATATAAAGTAATAATTGATACATTCCATATGTAATGTAATATAGATTACATGAATAACCAATATTATTTCAAATAAAATGATTCAATATGATTTATCCAACAGAAAAAAGAAAACAATAAGAAGTAAAAAAACATATTAAACTATAAAGAAAAGTATATAGAGACGTCCAAATATGCAATTCATAGCTTATACAAATTTAAATTTTATTATCTCAAATGTTTAGTTGTGCTTTCATCGAACAAGTTGTGTGCATAAATTCAAACTAAGTATATTTCTAAATTTTTCATCACACATAAATTTCTATTAAGCTCTTTATCATTATATAACAATAGAAATCTCTTCACAGCACTATTAAAACAAACATTAATCAACAATCTTCTTACAAATTTGTAAAATAAAATTAAAATAAGCAATATTGTATCTTTTTTTAATAAAAAAAAAAGGCTCAAATCTCTTCTACTTTTGAGAATGAAAAATTAATAAATTATTGGGTTTCTTCCTATTAATATGTGAACTAAATTGGGCTAAACTAGGCCACAAATAATATAAGAAATGCTAAACTAAACAAAAAAGAAATTACATGGGGCTAGAACCCACCTAAGCCGAAGGGTAGTTCCGCCCATGTTACGGCCCATCCAAGTAAATGACAAAAGGTGAATATTTATGCATCATTTTGTTTCAGACCCTCAATGTTATTATCTCCAGGTTAGGGTTGTTAAATAATATGACTCGTTCGTATCGATCCAGTTCAAGTCATTTAGTTAACGGAACGAGTTTGTTAAGGGTCGAGAATATGAACTTTACACAACTTAATTGTTACAGTATTTAGTTAATTATGGCTCGAGTTCGACACATTTATATTGATAAATTAGTTGACCTCGAGCTCGTTTCGTCAATGACTTGAATAAGCTTGACTTAATAAAGACTCTAGCCCGCATTTGAGTATCAAAACTCCAATTTAAGATTGCATGTAAGTGTTAATTTTTTTAAGTATAAATTTATGAAGTTGAAATCAATAAGTTGAGAGTTTATTATTTTATTTTTTATTTAAACTAAAATGATGCTAGATTGGGGTCTCCCTTATCATACATGGAATATGCTAAATTAGGTTTTGTTGACTTTTTGTGTCTTCAGAAGCTACTAATTGAATTATAGCGTTTATGGATTAGTTGGTTGAGCCATAATTTTCAAAGTTGGTAGTGGCAGGATTTGGGGCTGATCGTCATCATTGTTAATCCAATAACTACTTGGTTTATTGGGGTCAAACATAAAAAGGGCACAAACTCTATTTCAAAATGCCCTCCTTTTGTTTTGTCACATTTGTCAAGTTAGAGATTTGACACATGATCAAAATGACTGGATGTCATCTATACTTATATAATAATGTGTACCATTTACAAAATTTAGTAAGTTGAAAAGTCAAAAATGCATTACTATTTTGAACAACATAATATAATATCATATCTATACTTATATAAAAGGAGATTCTATTTACTACATTTACTATCCCGAAAAGTCGACTGCATTAAATACCATTACTATTTTGGTATTATAATATTTTATTTATTTAATTGATTTATTTATTTGTTTTATTTTAAAAAGGTAAGTATAATAAAAAGATTTTAATAATAAAAAAATTAAATAACAAATAAAAATATACACTTTGACTTATTTGATTATATTTGGTATTTGATTATACCAAATATATTCCTATTTATTATATACATTATATACTTACTAAAGTATTTATTTGTTTTATTTGTCAAAGTTAAGTATAGATTTGTTTATATTATCAAATCATAAAAAAATATTAAATCCATATTGTAAAAATAAAATCATATAATTTTATAACAATTCTACTACACTATTTAACAATATTCATTTTTTATTATATTAATAATAATTAAATATTATATGGTTAACAACAATAAGTAAAACTGTTACTTTATTTTATATCAAGGGATAAATTTATATGCTAAAATTAAATTTTTATTAGTATAAATGTTTTAATGAGATAATATATTAATTATTTTACAAGCTAGCCCTAACATGCTCATATTTAATGTTTTAAAAGATGTAGAAAAAAACTTATAATAACTATATTGTTTTTTAGACTTAAACGTTGATTAAAAGAGGTAAAAATTCCTAATTTTTTAGACTTAAACGTTGATTAACACCATAGATTGAGAGTCTATATTTAGTAAAATTCCTAATTGTAATAAAAAAAATTAATTTTTGCTATATTTTAGAATATCTTTAAATTCATTATAAAAAAAGAAAAGAAAAAAAACTACAATGAAAAAAGCAAGTCAGCTATATATCGATTTGTTGTACTCCTCAAATCACATTCACAATTTGGCTACAAAGAAAGGAAACTCATTGATCAAAATATTATTTTGTCAGTAGTCTTAATGTACAAGAGACTTTAAGACTCCACTTGAATATTGTAAAACTTTTATTGAACATTGTACAATTTTCTTGCGTATTATAAACTCTTATTGAATATTGCATCTTATAATATAATATTCTCCGAATAAATATATCCCGTGCTTCGCACGGGTCACGTACTATATATATCCCGTACATTTTTCTTTATTCATGTATATAATTATAATCCTGGATAAATAGCCTTAAAATTGTGCACCCCGTGCATCGCACGGGCTATGTACTAGTTACAATTATATCATTATTCTCATTAATTTTATTTTGTAGGTGTACATACATCAGTTTAGATTTTGCTGATTATTTTGTAAAATTTAATGCATTGTTTGGTAAAAGTTTGTGACTCGTCTCGAGTCATAAGCCCAATTTGTGGGAGGTTTTGTAGCCCAAAGGCAGGCCCAACAAGGATGCGGGTGACTTGGTGGAGAATTTTTTAAGACGGTGGACAATCAAGGATCTGTTAAGTGAGGGATAATTTTCCACAATATTCTTGAATAATTGGCTTCAGATTATATATCTACTAGCAATTTAACGGCTGTGGCTAGCACAGCCGGCCCACATTATTAAGATAATTTGTTGTTCATCAAAAAATAAATCATCACCAACTTAAGAGTCTAAAAAGTGTTAAATAAAAGTTGTTTTGTTATTTAATGTGTTGGTTTTTATGTTATTCATATGTATTTGCGTATTTTTATTGTTCCATGTGAACTTTGGGTATTTAATGTGTATTTTTTCATGATATGTTGTTTTTGGGTTGGAACATAATTATCAATATAATTGTTAATCATAGCTTTGTGTATAATCTGTTTATGTAAAAAGTATTATTCTTTTGACATAAATGCTATAATTAAAGATGATGGAAGAAAGTAAAACAGTAAGAATGATAGTATATTGATATAATTCGTCGATCGAATTGACATAAATGCATATTGAAATCAAACTTATCACAAAAAACCATAGGTGCATATATTTATCTGGAAAGACTGTCTTAACACATACAAAATAAGTGCTGCAATTACGTAGGGCAATAGGACAATAATGCTAATATTAATTTTACTAAGCTTGAACAAGCATCCATGCTTAGTAAAACTTAATATAAGCATTAACAAAAGAGGTTTGGTGCAGATTATTTACATCATATTTGTTCCAACAAAAGGTTGCTAATGAGATAGCAAAAAGTCCAGAGTTATATATAGGGTGAGCAGCCTGCTAAGGATACCAAAATATGTTGGTTACTTAGATGTCAAAAGTTGTTCTTGCGGCGTTTCTTTAAACTACCAGCTTCTTGCACATTTTCAGAATCGTCGGGTGAGTCATGTTCAGTGCTTGTATTGGTTGGTGTTGCATCCTGGAATTTTAGTGATCTTTTGACTGAGCCTGTTTTGTCAATTGACATCTTCATGGTGGATGAAGATTCATTTGGTGTTTCATTGAGCATGGAGAGCACTTTATGGCCTGTTGGTGTGAATTGCTGCTCCTGAACCAAATTCTGTAATAGATCAAAGATGAAAAAAATTTGAAATCAATTAATAATTAATTGATAGGACAATTATAAGAACATAGCCACCGTATGATAAATTCTATATGTTACCTGATTGTCATCTTCATCGTCATTTACATACAAAACAACGATAGCAAACCTT